TGAAGAGTAAAAGGGTGTGTCCTAGGCTCTGCTCATCCTCCAGACATTTGGGTCCAGTAACTCCCCAGTCTAAACTCCCCCCTCATGTTCTCCCGCGTCCTTCCAGCAGGGGTGTCCCCTGGCCCTTGCTCTTCCAGCAGCTTTTGTGTCACTGTTGTGCTTCTGGGACACTGGTGGACTGTGATTCCCTGGCAGCAGAGACTCTGTCCCCCTCCCTTGCTCCAGCACAGCAGGGGCTCGAGCGAGGATGGGCAGCGTAGGGGTCGGTGGCAGGGATGGCGCATGCAGGGACCCGTGTCACTCTCCTTAAGAGCTGACAAGATCATGGGGCTGGGAAGGTGGCTCAGTGGTTAAGCGCTTGTCTTACATGCATGAGGCCCTGAGTTCCTCAGCACCACATAAGCAAAAAGAATAAAAGCCGGAAGTGGCGCCGTGGCTCAAGTGGTAGAGAGCTAGCCTTGAGCTGAAGAGCTGAGGGACAGCGCCCAGGCCCAGAGTTCAGGCCCCACGACCGGACCAAAAAAAAAAAAAAAAGAGCTGACAAGATCATTAGTTCACTACCGTAATTACATGGCCAATGAGACTCGTGGCCAAGACCGACGACAGCCCCTCCGTCCACATAGCAAGACCAGAGAACCAGCACTGTGATGCCCCAAGCCTAGTCCCCATCCAGAGACGCCCAAACTCCACAGTACATTACAAGAACTAACCCCAGGCTTTGGGTGCCCCAGGCTTTTATGATGGGTGCAGGCCAGCCTGCCTACCTTTGTCAGGGACACTGACACTGTCCTCATCCCATCTCTGATGGACAGAGCAGCCATTTGGGGCAGGCAGTAGATGGCTGATGGCTCGGTAGATAGCCAAAAGAAGAAACGAGGGAAGCTGAGGCCCATGCACAGCTGCCTGTGAAGGGCGTGGTTCACTGCCCGGCCCCAGGGTGTGGAGAAGAGGGAGAGCGGGAAGAAGGGGAGTATGGGAAGCTCCCTCCTCACCCTTCCCTCCCCGGGGGGAAGCCCATGCCCTGGTCTCCAGAAAGAGTCAGCTTCCTAGAAGGCCTCTCGTCCCTGACTCTGACTTGAGGTTGGTGAGCCAGCCACCTATTTCTCTCCCACTGCCAGTCCTGGGGCTGTGAGCACCTTTGCATGCCAAACACGCTGGGCGGCTGGGCGCCCTCTTCCTCAAACACATAAAGCCATCCGCTTCCTTCACAAATGAGAACTTCAGCTTCTCAGGCTTAATTAATAACTTGATAACATGAAATGAGTGACCACTCAGTGAGAGGGACGTAGCCCTGGAGCACTGCAGGAGTGTTGCTCTCCCAGAGCGATGCGGTCTCTGTGTGGTAGTATGTGGGGCAGACACTCCTAGATGCTTACATAGGAAAATCGGAAGCGGTCTGGGAACTATTTAGGCAATTAATGACACTCACTTAGAAAAAGTGAAATTACACAGTAGACTCAGATGGGGCGTGTGTGTCTAAAAAGCATGAGAAACCCATGCCTTGGTGGCTCACACCTGTAACCTCATGAGACTGAGATCCGAGGCTCGAGATTCAAAGCCAACCCAGCAGGGAAGTCTACGCATCTCTTATCCCCAGTTAACCAGAAAGAAACAAAACAAAACAGAAGTGGAGCTACGGCTAGATAGGGTGCCAACCTTGAGCAGAAGCAGCAAAGGCACATGAGTGCCTAACCTCTGAGTTCAAACCCCAGAACCAGGATCAGAATATATGACCAGTTTCAAGTCGATTACGAATGTCTGCAACTGTTTGTAAGTCACTGAACGTTTGAGAGTCGTTTCTTTGGCTGGTGGGCCAAAGTAGAGAAGCACCTGGCAGTGTAGCCTTGGCCAGGGGTGGTGTGGCCCCAGCCTCTGGACCTCCACAGGCCTCCACCTGAGACACCTGTCTCTGTACATTTGCCTTTAGAGGCAAGTGCCTGCTTCCAGACTCCTAAACTGTATGTGAAGAAAGAAGCAGTATTTCCCTACTATTCATAATGGGTTTTTTTCAGTTCAGTAAATAATATCTCTACGTCATCATGGAAAATACTTTTGTTTCATTATGTCATGGTTGGTGCTTGCAAAAAAAATATTGAACTGATTAAAATGGAGTAGGCTAGTAGATAGTACACAGACACAGAGAGAGAGAGAGAGAAGTTTACTCCCTGGATGGAAAACCAGACATGTTTTATTTGTGCCATGACACGTTGAGATGTTTCCTGCATACGCATGCATTCACATGCACGTCCACACTCACATATATATGTCATGCTTAAAACTTGACTTTTAGGAGTTTATGTCCACCTGCGGGTGTTGATTTTTCCAGCTTTGTCAGGTTTCTGTTTCGTCTCAAAGCCTGGTTTGGATGTGGCTGTGTAAGGAGAATCCCCTCTTGGAGCATCGGGCCGGCTGGTCTTCATTCTGGATGCCAGGAGCATGGATCATGCGGGTCTTAGAGGTCTCCATTTGTCCTCTTGGAGACCCATCCCAGAGCCACACCGCCAGCATCCCAGCATCTTGGACCTGAGCTTGTGCTGGACTTGCGGAATTTCACAGTCAGCAAGATGTCTGAGAACCTGGGACCAGCCACAGCCTAGGTAGCAGCATTGTCTTGCAGGGTGCTGTCTGGCCTTCAAAGACCTTGCCATCTGGAAACGGGTTCTTCCTCAGCTCTGTCGTCTGAGCGCATGTGCCGTCTCCAGCTCAGACTCGCTCACTGTGTGGTGTATGTGGACCTTTCCCCCTGGAATCTGCTGACAGCGCACAGTGGACTGGGGCATCGTGGCACTTGTTGTCCTGGGAACGGTCACCCCCTAGACAGCCATTGTGGGTCAAGAGATGGGCAGCATCTGCGTGTGGAGCACCGGCTGGGGTTCTGATGGGCATCACAGAGCCCAAGAAGTCGTCTGGATGTTCCGTGCCAGGATGGGCTCACACAGCAGTTGCGATCCCCTCAGAGATTCCACTTGCTGCCCTAAGGGGCAGACGTATAGGATCTGGGTCCTTTGGGAAGAGGAGCACAAGGATACTATGAGCACCAGGCAGGGCAAGAATGATACCAGTGGGGCAGTGCTGGGCCAGCCAAGGCAACTCTGGGAGGGAGCCCTGGAACGGACACCCGAATCTCACCATCCTCCGCCTTTATGTGCCTGCCCTGCTCCCCATTGGCTGAGCACTGCAATAAGCCAGAATGTTCTCGAGCACCCCGTGTGGGTACCCCCGAGAGGAAAGCAAGGCAGGAAAGTGGTGGACGCCAGCTGCCGGAGCCCCGGGTGGACCCTACAGATGGAGCCCCTCTCTCGCCCACTCTAGAGGGACGCTGCCACCTTGTGTTGCGGCTAAGTTCCGGTCTCTGTGGTGGCCTGGAGAATCCCAGAGAGCAGCAGGTAGTGGCCTCCGGGAACACCAGCTCCCTCTCTGGCTACCTAGAGAAGCAGAAGTGAGACAAATGGGGTTGGGTTGCGAGTCCTGGCGCTCAGGAGGAGACCAGAACCTGCTGTGTATTCCCAGGGTTGGGCAGGTCAAGCCTCAAGCCCCGCCCTCGGGCCGGACTGGCCCTAGCTCCTGGCCAAGGGGGGAAGGGCTCCAGTTAGAGTTGCTTCATCATCTTGGTTATTTTCTGGATTGGGGTTTTGTCATGTAATTAATCTGAGTTCTGTGAAAGCCCAGCCAAGCACCCCATCACTTAGTGTCCTACAAGAAAGCAGGTGCCCACAGGCCTGGGCATCTGCATTTCTGATTCCCAGACTCTGCTGCTGCTGCTGGGGTTTGTGGTCCCAGCTTGAGCAGGGAGGTCTCAACCTCCTGTTCCTCTCCATCGCTCGTCTCTGGTTTTGTTTGTACAGTCCCATAGACCTCCCTATGAGCTTCCTTATGACAGCCAAAGCATATGCAGTTCAGACAGCAGCACGCAATAGGTTCTCTTTTTCTTTCTAGTAGATAGCAAAATCCCATCGTTGGCTATACTTTGGTTGTTTCACTCCATGCTGCCTTTCAGTAAGTGACTGGAACTTTCCAGGGCTGTAAGGGATAACACTGGGGCCTCGTGTTTGTAGGGGAAGATAGTCCCCACGGCTGCCTTACAAAATGCACATGCCCCAAACTGAATCAGAATCAGAAGCCTGATTTTGAAGCCTCTGAGTTATAAAAGGATCCACAGGGAATTCTAGTAACTGGCCAGACTTTGGAAGCACTGATGGGCTGTACACATAATGCCTGATACGGTGCCTGATACAGTGAAATCTTCCACTGGGGCAGCTGAGAATGTAATTGATTCTCAACTAAAACAATCAGAGGAAAGTTTTTTTTAAAAAGACCTCTGAAGATCTGCATACGGATATAACAGACTGTCACGTGCAGTGGAAAAGATTGGCCCAACTTTACCAAAAAGTACTTATGTTTTAGCATCTAAAATTGGGATGATCAGATGATTCATCTCGATTATGGAGCAGTTGATTCGGATCATCACATAGACAGTGCAACCACCGGGGTGTGCCATGAAATTACTAGGTTCTTTTACCTCTGCTTAGTCTTTGCAAAGTTAGGAATAAACTGGCTTAGCCTGAGAGTCTGTGTTCCCTTCATAGTGAAGAACTTTGATGTGTGCTCTTCATAAAGCAGGCCTGCGCCATTGACGTCAGCCGCTTGGCTGGGCACGGTGAGCTGCCTCTCACCCAGCCCCGAGGTGTGCTTTCCCAGGACCGCCTGGGTCCCCTGGCTTCAGAGCTGAGGGGCAGTGCTGTGCATTTGGGGGACTTGGGGAGCAGCAGTGATCCGCGGGCTGCAGTTCCTTCACGACGTACTGTCACCCTTTCTTGGGGTGCGCGCCACCCTGGCTTCCTCACGCCCATTCCCCGTGTGACACCCCCACAGGCCACCTGGGCAGACGGACGGTGACTCTCGGTGGTCGTGCGTACAACCTGAGGCCCCATAAACTAGCACAGGCTGGCTTCTGCGGTCTGTACTCCGCCGTGGTGTTCACCTGACTTGTTTATTCCTAGGGAATGTCACTAGTGCGTCTGGGTCTCAGATGGCAAGCGGCATCAGCCTGGTCTCCTTCAACAGCCGACCCGACGGCATGCACCAGCGCTCCTACTCAGTCTCCAGTGCCGACCAGTGGAGTGAGGCTACGGTCATTGCAAACGCCGCCATCAGCAGTGGTAAGAGGGGGCGCAGCCCCACAGACCGCGGCCACCACCAGGTCCTCCGTGGACGCCGGGGGCTCGCCGTCCAGCCGTGTGCATCTCACCCGTCCTCTTGGGACCATTTTGTCCGTGACAGGCTGTCTCACCTCCATCACACATCATCTCATTCGGTCCTCTCTGGCCAGGGAGCAGATGTTCATTTCCATTGGACAGATTGGCAAACTGAGGCTGAGGACAGGGGAGGTAGCCCTTACCAGGGTCATGTGACCAGGAGATGGTGGGGCTGAGAAGCAGTGTCTGACGCCACACCCCCAATCGCACCAGGCCTGGTGCACATTCCACCTTCGTCCACGTTTACGCTGTTCAGGTTAGGTCATCCTCCGGGCCCATTCTCCAGGATCCTTGGTGTGCCCTCCAGACTCGGGGAGCCCCCTCTGTCATCTGAGTCCAGTGGATTCTAGGAAATATTCCCAGTCTTCCTTCCACTTTTTTTTTTTGACAAGCGTGGCGTGCTTCGTGGGGGACAGATACACAGCGTGCCGGGCACCCTGACTGGGCAGCATGCTTTGCCTGTGGCATTCTGTCTGTGGCCCGTTCACCGGTATTTAAGGGAATTCCCACTGTTGTATGCAATCTATCAGAGAGGGTTTTAGAGTAATTTCAGCATAATTTGTTCTAATTAAAAGATTCAGCATCAGGTCTTCCCTGTAGACCGGCCAGCTGCTGCGGCAGGACGCTTGCTCTGGGTAAAAATATCATCCTTATTTCTGGTTGGCCCACATTGCTCCACGCAAAGGCCTCCGATGAAGATGTCTCAGAGTAAGAGGGAGGAGAAGCGGAGTCAGGACAGTTGGCTCCAGAGGACCTGAAGCTATCACCGTGACTAGAACACAGCTCAGGCGTGGCCCAGAGCCCCAGCCCCAGGACCAGCACACTCCTGGGGTTCTTGCCTCAGTGCAGAAGAGATGCTTTGCCAGGTAGCAGACACGTCTGCAGGGCCTCTGCCACTGGCTGCCCCTCGTCTGGAAAGGCAGTGCTGACCCCGAGCTCCCCAGCAGAGAAGGGGACCTGGCCCGGGCACACTCAGGCCTCCACGGTGAGCCTGATCTCCACAGCAGCCTCAGGACCTTTCCTCCACGAGCCTCTGCCTTCCTGTCGGTTCAGTGGGTGTGACCCCCTTCCCCGAAGAGACAACACATAACATGTAGCTTCCAGGACAATAGTTATTACCGTGGTTACAACTGAGGAAAAGCAAGTCCTTTAATTAATTTTCAAATACTTGGAACCATTACAGATTAATAGTATAATCAGGAAGATTCAGAAGCCAGCCTGTGTTAGATTATGTGGCTAGAGCCGTGGGGGAGGCACTTGGAGGCGGCTGGGGGGCTTCCCTGAGCCCCAGGCCTGTGGCGCCAGGCCCCTCTGTGAATCACCGAGGCACCGTGGAGTCTGATGAGAGGCCAGGGCACAGGTCCCCCATCTTCACTGGACTTGCATGCAGGAAGAATAGAGATGGAAGGACATCTTCCTGGGCGAGGTCATGGCCCCAGACCTTGCCTGCCTTCTCAGAACCTCCTCACAGAACATTTGAGGTGGCCTAGCAGTCTGTCTACAGCTCACTTTGTACAAATTCCTCTCGTGCACAATCGTCTCCGCGATAGTCTCTACCGCCAGCCCTCCCTCCTGCTGCCAGCTGTGTGTGTGTGTGTGTGTGTGTGTGTGTGTGTGTGGAATTACACGCGTGTGCAGCGGGATTTCCACACTGCAAATCCCTGTGGGTCGGGAGGCTTCCTTATTTCTAGGCCCGAGGTTTGGGTGGCAGCGCCTCACAGGGATGTTGGCTGTGCTGATCTGGCTGTGCTGGGACCCCAGGGGTCACATGTGGTATCACATATTCGAGCAAATTCGGGTGTCCATTGACGACTCCTGTGCCCCTTCACCTTACAAAGCCTGAGACAGGAAGTAGGACACACAAGCAGGAGCCCTGGGCTTCGGGCTTCCTGTGCGGGAAGACCAGAGCTGGAACTGGGCAGGTAGTTTACAGATCCATAGTTAATCAAGGGAACCTTCCCAAGGAGGATCACACTTGAGCGCCGCTTAGAGAACCGGTGAATCTTCCGTGTGAGACGGCAGGAAGATGATGTTATAACCATTGGGGCAATGTGGATAAAGACAGGAGAAAGAGGAAGAATGGGACAGCGATGATCCGAAGTGTAGTACAGTTGAGCACAGCAAAGTGAGGAGAAGCAGAAGCGAGCTGAGCGCTGAGAGGCCAGGGTGGCCTGGTTACTTAGTGTTGTGTCTTAAGACTTTTTAAAGGGCAAAGGTGCATTCCGTACCGGTGCATACGCGTCTTCCAGCCCGTCCCGCTAGCGGCCGTCTTGTAGTCCATCTTCCCAATGTGCCGTGATGAACCAGCTCCCTGTTGATGGACCCAGACTGTTCTCCAGCACTTCTGCACTGTCCATACTCTCACACTGATGAGCAGCTGTCTGCTTCTGTCATCCTAAGAGCTGGACTGGGGGGAAGGCTGCATAGTTTCGATAGCTATGGTCGAAGCATGCTTTGATCAGACAAAATTCTGCATCTTTAAGATTCCCACTGCAAAAATCAATGTGAAATATATTTTTAGTATACCAGTTTATATTTTTTTCTTAAAATGGCCATGAATGGAGTAGGACGAAAATGAAGAGCAGAGATTCAGAACATCCACAGAAAGGTGTGTAGAATTGCAAGGCCTACAGCTTTGCAGGGATCAATCTAAAGACTGATAACTTGTCACACCCAATATGTTTTGTTTTGTTTTGTGTCACTACTAGGGCTTGAACTCAGGGGCTCCCTTTCTTGCTTAGCATTTTTGCTCAAAGCTACCTACCACTCTCCCTGTTGAACCACAGCTTCCAGATTTTTTTTTTTGATGGGTAATTAGATGAGTCTCATGGACTTTTCCTGCCCAGACTGGCTCCCAGCCACATGCCTTAGATCTTAGCCTCCTGAGTAGCTAGGATTACAGGTGGGAACCACCAGCACCAGTGTTTCAGGAAAGGGAACAGTAATGTATCCATCAAAGTATCTGGTATCTTCATTTGGATGAGCTCGTGGAGTAGATGCTGTGGCTGGCCCTGTTGTATCAATGGGGGACCCCTTACAGGGCTGAAGCGTTACCTGTTCCTGGTATGGGCTGGGACTGGCCTGGGATTGGCTCCAGGTCTTGGGTCTTCCCTCTGAACACAGGCCTTTGGGAACTGCTTAGAGCGACGTGTTCTCAGAGCATATTCAGACCCACCACGTCCAGAGTGCGTGTGCCAGGGGCCGGCGCCACACAGAAGTGGGGGAACCATGACTAAATCCTTCTCAAGAGTGGGCCCCACACCAAGCAGCCACTGATAGTTCCTGGAGTTGGATAGAACTGCAGGTGCCCAGGCCAGGAAGCCTCTGCTTGTAGACTACACACTGATGGGGCAGTGGCCAGACTGCGGCCATGATTAAGGAACAGCAGGTGCAGGGTCTGTCGGAGCTTTCTGGAATACCTGTTTCTAACCGGATTTCAAGTCCTCACCCCGAGTATCAACAGTGCTGGGGTGCTCCATACCGGAAACAGAGTGAGTCCTGAGGACTTGCGGCCCTGCTTCCTCTACTGGGCACAGTTGATTTAAGCCCTTTTCTTCTAAGATTTTCATGAAAAAGGTAACAACAGCATTTTTATTCCATTTTCCCTTCAAACTCCCCTCCATTAAGACTTGGGCTCCTGAGCACTTCTCAGTCTTTCCCTTTGACACACAGGTACGGGAAGGTGGAGAGGGGGGTGAAGGGGGAGGGAAGGAACCCCTAATTAGACAGATGACTCCGTAGAGGGTAAGCCCAGGAAACAGGAAGCACTGGCTAAATTAAGAGGAGAAGGGCCAGAGATTTCATTCTGTGGAATGGAATGCCCCACTGCTTTATGACTATGACTGTTGTAAGGTTTTACATTAAGTACCTGGGGTTTAAAATTAAACGTCTAATATAATTTGGCGTTGCTAACATGAGGCCCACATCTGCCCTTGGAGGAGATCCACGCAGCTCTGCTCGGGGTTTCAAACCGCTGTCTCTGGGCTGGCAGAGGAGCGGCGGGACGAGACCCCTCCTGGCTAAGCACCCCGCGCTGCTCAGCGTCATTTTTTTAAATTCAGAGCATATTCATCCTGCGCTTCTGCATTGAAAAAGGCCATTCCAGTAGTATATGAAAAATTAATTTTTTTACATTTTTTTTCTCACTCCCCTAAGTGTTTGACAGAAGTAATTTTTGCAGCAAGAGAGAATAAAAACTGGTGGCTGTAAATTCCTGTCCTGGAACCTCTTGTGTGGATTCTTTATGGACTCAGAATTGATCTCCATGTCAGATCCTGTTGTGGTTTGAACTGTTTATCACCGTAATGGCAGTAGTGAGCCCTCGAACGCCGACTTATAACCCTGGGTAAAAGAAATTGGTGTTTGCCGTCAGTTCAGGGGCAGCTTAGCGTTATTGATAGATTCAGAACAATTATCTCTGCAACAACTATTGGCCCGGGGTTTTCTTGAATCTCATTGGATGCCTGTAATTTTTTTGTTCGTCTGTTTGTTAATCGGTTTCTCTACAGGTAATTTTTTCCAGAAGTATTAGCCTTTCTGTGGGGAGCCATTGGGCGGAAAAGGGCATTGATAGCTTAAGTTTCCGTCACAGCTCCGTTCAAAACAAGGTGTGGTTTAAAATGCATTGCCCCTGTGCTGAGGGCCAAGGCCAGCGCCCCAGCGGCGGCCCTGACGTGGTCTGCCTGCCTCCCTAAGTGTCTGGGCCAGCCTGACCCTTCCCCCACCCCACCCCCTTGCAAGTGGCAGCCTCAGCTGAGCCTGTGGCTGTTGCCGTGGCAGCCACATTTCTCTGCCTCCTAACTGTCAGGTTGTTCTGATGGCTCCACCCCGTTCCCGATTGCTTCAGTCCAACCGTTTATCTTCTGGCGCGCTGACCGGCCATCGCTGTTAACACCGCATCTCTC